TATACTGCATTAACAGAGAAGAGGCAGTGGGTGGGTAAACTTGAATTATTTTATTTTATTTTATTTTTTTTATTTTTATTTTTTTTTCCTTTTTGGTGTCCGGCAATGGATCGCAACCCTCAGTGTCGCGCCCGTACCGGACCGGGACCAGCAACGGGATCGCAACCCTCGGTGTTGCGCCCGCACCTCGCTCAGCCAGTGAGCGGGAACCGGTCTGTATGTGGGATCCAAACCCTCGGCAGGAGCACCACCACGCTCCCAAGCGGTGCACTGTAGCAGTGCGCCACCGGGCCAGCCCGAATAATTTTAAACATCATGAATAGTTGACTTGTCGATACATAATATCTTCCTTTCATTTACAACTTTAGCTAATTTTTTAATTGACTTCCTATTCTACAAGAATGCAAGATAGATATCAGCTGCGAGATGCATACTTGGTGACAAAAGGAAGTCAATCAACAGAATCTCTGGTGATAAGCCAAAAAATGTAGGTAGAATTTTTAAAAATAGAGTTCACTGTACATGAATGCCTATATTTCAAAACTGGTACCATGAACAAATTTCTGTGTTTCTAGTCCTATACACAAATACGGCTACACAGACACAAACAGCAACTCTTCTATCCTCTTTCCTTCCATGTGCCCTAAATATTTTCTTCATTCCTGATCCTAATCCTGCTCAGAGTACACATGCCCATGTCATTGCAAAGCATTAACTGTGAATTGCCCATAATTCCACAGAGCTGGTATTTTTCCTCCTGTGGGATGAGCACCTCCAGGATGACACCCAGGAACAAGAAGATATTCCATCCTGGTCACCACGCTGGGTGTTAGCGCCTTCACTGAATGGTCCCTAGCCCTGGCAGTTCATTGTGGAACCGTTTCCCGGACAGCTCCCATTCATTCCTTGCTGGACACAGTGCTCCTAAAACAGCCCCCAGGTAGCCACACACAGACCAAAGGCCCATCCAAATGGAATGCATTAAGTTCTTTTTGCAGCTCCCTTCCCACTCAGCTTTAATGCCCTCCCAAATCCAGGTTACTGAAGCTGACAGTAATAGCAGGGTTAGCAGCAGCAATCGCCCCTATTAACATCAAAAGGGCTACTAAGGTATGTGGTGTTATGTAAAAAGGAAAAGAAAGTATGTAAACACATGCATAAAGACATCAGAAAAAGAGAAAGTAAGATATCCAATGAGGATAAATAAGCAAAATTACATCTAAAGGCACAGAAAGCTAGAGTAGACATACATAAACACCCATAAAAGGTGGATGTATAAGTCAGAAAACACTATATCATCAGCATTTGACAGCCATCTGGTTACAGTCATACTTTCTGTACCAAGCTTCCACCAATTAGAAGAATATCAGGAATACTGTATGTTGGGCCAGTCACAATTTCCTGCTGCTAAGTCTGAGAACTTAAATTATTTGCTTGACAATAGTAAGCTATTATTTGAAACACAAATTTGTCACAGAAATACTCTATCAGACCTTTGACTATCTTAAGATATAGTGTTAGGTTATCATAACGTTCATATTTATAAAAATCCATACAGGGGACCTCTTGGTAACATGCAAAGAAAATACTAAATGTTCAAATATCCAATCAAAAAGATACCTACTCTAATGCCAAGGCCAACTCTAGCGAACCCACTCCAACAGCGTGAAAGACTTCATCAAGTCCTGCTTCTACAAGTGGCACTTCTGGGCAGGACCAGCTGACAGCCTTGGAAATGCAGCCAGCACAGCATTTCTCCCTGGAACAGCAGAAAACAGCATGGTGATTGCTCGTCTCGAGAAGCCAGGCTACCAACTGCCATAGTCCATTAAAAACAAATTTTATGTCTGTTCTTAACTCTCAGGTCCCTCAAAGAATTTGAGTAATAACCTTAAGTCTATAAATTATAGGATTACAATTAACCAAAGCTGATATTCGGTCTTCATCCCAGCTCATTCCCACCCTGCCTTCACTTCCATCAAAAGCTGTGGACAATGATCACAATGTCGCGTGAAAGCAGCCGGACCCAAAAGAGTACATACTGTGTGAGTCCATTTATAAAACGTTCAAAAAGCATGCAAAATTAGGCAGTAGTGTTCTGGGGTGCAAGCTTAGGTGCTAAAACTATGCAGAAAAGCAGGAAGCAATTAACATAAAAGTCAGGATAGCAGGTGCCCCTGAGGGGAAGGAGGGACAGTGTTAGGATGGGCTCAGCACCAGCTTCTAGGGGCTGACAATGTTCTTTCTTGACCTGGGTGGCACTTACAAGGGTTCCCTTTGTGCTACAACTCACGCAGTACAGTCTCTGCACTAGTGTTGTCTTTCACAGTAAAAGTGAAAAGAAAAGAAGAAAAAGGAAAAGAAATGTGCGACTAAATATTTTAACTATTTTTATAGATACAGATTTCTAGATAAGACATTGACAGATTTTTCTGTCAATGGATATTTTGGACGATCTTATTTTTTCCTATACAATCTGCAAGTCCATTAGTTTTTTGGGTTTTTTTTTCCACAAAGTTGAAATACCAGTCACTTATCCATCACCTTAATATCCAGGCATTACTGTAAATCACCATTAAAATGGATGAGATCTCTAGGATGAGCAGGTCTGGAACAATCCTTGAGGAGAACAAGTGCTAAAAGTATGTCTCACCAGGCACAGGGCAAAGAACCTGGTACACTAGAATTGCCCTAAAAACAAATATAAGAGGTTTCTTTTCCTAGAAAAATGCACAAAATTTCAAATTTAGGAATCTGGTATTCCTTATTAACCACTTAGCAGTCTTTAATTCTTTCATAAATCACCTGGGGGTAAAAATACACAAATAAAAATTACTGCCTTGGGTTGAATGTCCCCCCAAAACTTAATCAAACTTAATCCCCACTGTAACTGTGGAGGGTGGGAAATCCCATTATGGCAATTGAAAGGTGTGGCCTTGAAGAGGTGATTTGATTGTAGGTCCATGCCCTAGGGAACGGATTCATAGTGGTGGTCAGGGGCATGGTTCTGAGGGCTTTAAAAAGAAAGTAAATGAGGTTAGTCTCTCTCTCTCTGCTGTGCCATTTTTGTGCCACATGAGAACCCTGAGTCACCGTCACCACCACCAAGACCCTTACCAGATGTGTTCCCTGGACTTTGGACTTCCCAGCCTCAGAAACTGTAAGCAATAAATTCCATTTTCTTACAAATAACCCAGTTCCAGGTATTTCGTTATGAGCAACAGAAACAGACTAATACAATTACCTATTAAAGTTCTTATAAATCAACTTCAGGTGTTGAACTATTGGACAAATGATTACTTTCACTGCCTTAAATGTACACTACTTATATTACCTGACTCAAATCCACTGACTCTGCTACTTAATTTCCTTGCTAATGAAGATGCAAACTTGGCTTGTATTCTGAAGCAAAGTTCCTCCAGAGGACATCTGTTGTTTTTGTCTACCTAGAATCTTTTTTTTCTCCTTTAGACCACTCTGCTCCCTGCCTGACTTCCCCCCGCTTCTTTGGAGTAGTGTTCCATACTAACTCAAATCACACAACTGTGGCTGACTTACACTGATCATGGCACCTCCCTTCTCTCCCAAGGTGTGGACATGAGACCCAGGCCTGGCTGACCACAATACTCCACTATTCCCCTGCTCCCAAGGGTTAGCATATGGCTCAAACAGGACTCTCAAGCTCCTGCCTAGAGTATGTTTAATTTAAAGCTAGGAGAAGAGAAGACAGGCCAGGGATTGGGGCGGGGGAGGGTAGGAGGAACACAGAACCAGAAAAAGATGTATCAAGGACTGCCATGCCATCAAGAGGGAAAATAAGAAAGAATAAAACCAAACATACAAAGGAAAGCAGGGGGCACAAATACAGGCAGAGGCAAAAAGCAGAGAGATACATGAGCTGAACTGAGTTCCTGGATCTAATGGTGGATAAAGGCTCCTATGAGCCAATAAATCCACTTTATTGCTTATACTGGCTTTTTGGTTGGATTTCTGTTACACCTCTAACAGTCGTAATACAGTTACAATGCTGTACTTGACTTTGAGAATTTATTGTGTTTTTAGATCTAGGTTCCTACTTAGTACTACAGAAATTATCAATAAATAATTCAACAAAACAACCCAGAGGCAATAAGCATTCTTTACTCATAAAATTCCATTGGCACATGTGTGTACACATGTGCATGTGGTTATGCACACATACACACACATGTGCATACATAAATTAACAAATATGATTATATATATTGTCGTTTATTTATTAGTGGTCACTGTGTGTGTGTGTGTGTGTGTGCATGCTTTTTTATTTGGTTCTTTTCTCTTCCACCTGTATCAGCCTAAATGCCATCCCCTCTCTCACCCAGGAACCCACATTAACTACTTGGTATGTTTTCTTCCATGTATTTCTCCATGTACATGTAATTGTAAAGACACACATCAGCACAATTTTTTCCATTTTTTTTATAACTAGTATATCACACCCAGTTTTCTGCCTCTTATTTTTCAAAACCTCTCAATTCAACTGATATAGTCCTAAATTCCTGTTTTAATGGCTGCATAATATATCACCATTTGGATGTCCTGCAATATATCCAGCCATTCCTCTCCTGGTGGGCATTTGTTTGTCTCCATTTTTTCCGCAACACAAACAATACTGCAGAACACAACCTTGTAATGCACATCCTTCCTTACATGTGGGTGTTTTATTTCTTCCAGAGACCAAGGAGTGGAATTCCTTGGTCAAACAGATATTACCTCTAACCTGTGTCACCAGATTGTTTTCCAAAATGTCTATAACACCTACTTCGACCAGTAATATGAGTACTCTTTTCCCCTAACAGCAGTAGATGTTTTTAAACTTTTAAGTTTTTGCCAGCCTGAGGGGTTTCTTTACATTCTTTCTGTTCTTATAGTTTTCATTAGTAGCATCTACACATTTTATTAAATGCTTTTTCAGCATCTATTGATGTGATTGTGATCATATGGTGTTCTGCCTTCAATTTGATCATGTGATAGATTGCACTGGAGGATTTCCACTCTTGATTTCTTGGAATAAATCCTACCTGGTCATAATTGGGTCCTCAAACACAGTAATGTATTCTATCTGCTAATATTTTATGTAGAACTTTTGCATCTATATTCTAAATGAAATTGGTCTCTAGACATTTTTTTGTACTCTATCAGGTTTGGGTATTAAATGTACGTTTATTTTGTAAGGGAATTAGGAGCTTTTCATCTTCTTCTGGAACAGTTTAAATAATGCTAAAATTATTTGTTCCTTAAAAGTTACATAACACCCAGCCATAATTCCATATGATCCCATTGCCATTTTTAATAGTAGATCTTTAATCATTTTTCCATCTCTTTTATGTTACTTTCCTGTTCAAACTTTCCATTTCTTCTTGAGTCAGGTTTGGACAATTAATATTTGGCAAAGAAAAAATTCATTCTTCTGGTTTTCCAAATTTTTTACCAGAGAATTGAATGAATTTTATCTTCATTATCTTTGAATTATCCCTGCATCTCTGATTATGCTCCTTATCTCACTTCTAGTCTTCTAAATTTTTTATTCTTTATTAATTTCCTAACTAAAGATACAAACCTTGTATCTATTTTATTGTGTTGTTCAAAGAACCAGCTATTATATGTATTTATCCTATTTTTTTCATTAATTTCAACTTTTATCTTTATTATTCCCTCTTATTTTAGCTTATTTTGACATCCTTTTTTCTCATTACATAATAAAAGCACACTTTGTCTTTATTTTTAAATAAGGAAAATATCTAAAGGCTTTCACTCTATCCCATAGCTTTTAGGATAGATCATGCTTCTTTTATTGATTTCTAGATAGTCTATAATTTCACTTTTGATTTCTCCTTTGATACATAGGTTACACAGAATGGTTTCTTTAATTTCTAAATAGTAAAATTTCTTTTTTATTACCTTCTGTTATTTATTTCTAAAATTAATGGATTATGATCAGAGAACAAGACCTGTAAAAATCTCTTTTCCTTTGAATTTATTAAAATGCTTTTTATGGTCAAATATATGAAAAATATTCTAAGTAACCCAGAAAAAAAAATTCTGTATTCAAGGACTGTAAGGTTCTAGCATATCTATTAAATCTAACTCCTTTACTTATTCTATTTCTCTGTCTTCAAGGTATGTGCAAGGTTATGACAGATTGAGACAAGCGAGATTTACTAAAGTGTTTTACTATATTTGCATTTCTAATGGTTTTGCTTTACAGATTTAGTGGCTGTGTTATTCTACACATACAGCTTTATTTATCTTCTTCATAAACTCTGCCTTGTACCATTCCTTCTCCTACCATGCCTTTCGCTTAGAGACCTTGTCCAAACCTCATATTGCTAGTTCTACTGACTCTGAGATCCTTGTGCACCTTTTTTTTTCCAACTCAGATTACCTTGTTCCGGGTGTCTCTTATAAACAGCATATAACTGTGTTCCATTTTTAACTCAGTCTGACAGTGTCAAAGTTTTAATGGGAAAATTCAGTTCGTTCACATTTAATGTAAGACAAACTTACTTTCTTTCTCACTTGAATTGATTAAATTTGAAAATTTTCCTTCCTGTTATCTTCCCTCCTCCTAAGTTCTGTGTTTCTGGTTAATTTTTTGTTTGGTTACTCTTTTCTTGAGTATTTTTGTCAGAAAAATGAATGA